AGACTACTGTAAAGTAAAAGGTGGATCTGATCTGAAGGTGATGAATTAGCTGGATTCCCGAGGGACCCAGCATCTCTTCATGGTGTACTAATTGAGAAGCACTGCTGGAAAATGCCCGATCATAGACTTTTGAAATGGAAAGAGATCACAGACATACGTGAATGTATCATGTTCTTTTAAAAAAGAGGCACTGAAGAACCACGGCAGCAAATTATGTTACCAAGTGTGGGCAGACTTGCTGCCCAATGTGAGTAAAAGTCAATTACTATGATGTCATGTCTTGAGAAAACAAAAAACTTTATTGCAAATTGACTGCCAAGGAGAAAAGAGAAAACCTCAGGTGTACCTCTCTTTGGATGGGGCTTTGAGCAACACTTAGGGGTTGGGAAATAAAGAAACTATTAAAAATGCAAGTTGGTAGTGTCTCATGGCTTCTTTCTGCTGAATTATGGTAGAACTTGAATTCAGGTCCAGAATTGCAGCAAGTCCGAGCACTACAAAGTTTGAAATATCCACTTAACTATAAGGAGGCACTTTAATTCCACTTCCCATGGTATTTGCATACCAGGTAGCTGAGAAATCATCTTAAGGACAGCAAGTGCTCTTCTGGGTCTGTTTTTTGAAACACAGCTTTGAACTTCTAAAAAAAAAATTGGTTTATTCCTCTTTTAAGCTGTGTTTATGTATTTCTGTCCCTGTTGTTTCACTTTCACAAATCCTATAAGACATGGGAAAACAGGAAAGTACAGGTATCATGATCACCATGGTTACAGTAATGTATAACTAAGAGTCAGTCTAGAACTTAGGTTTTCTCCTTTGCAGTTAAGTTCCACTATACTTATTCTCTCTTGAAGGAGACTAGTAAACAAAGAGAGACATGGTAAAGTAGATTTTGTTCTTATTTCCCCAAGTCAAGATAGTTAGAAGACAACATTGAGTTAGCTCCAAGACTCAGAATCCTAGGGAACCCTTTCCTTTTCTGGATACTAAAGGAAGTATAGTTGCTGTAGGATAATTCCTAACTGCAAAACAATGGATTCATGATCTAGAATTCTTTTCATGTTCTGGTTCCAGAGCCCTTTCTTAAGGGTTTAGCAGTGTTTGGCTAATTGTGTGTCCTGGGTCATTTTTGCATCTCTGACAAAAAGTCAGGATCATTTTATATCAATAAGGTATCTGATGATGTCTTCTGTTAGTCTTCTACCCACACACCTGTGAAATGTATAAAACCTGTTTATTTCTGGATTCCTGTCTTCAAAATTGAATACTGATGATGTTTTAAGGTATTTACGTAGCCATCTTCATAGTCACAATCTCTTCCTTGAAAACAGATTAGATTTTACAGACCTGTCATCAGCAGAAGCGCCTGTTCATTGAAGCTTCAGTTCTTTTCCTATAATGCTCAAACTCCACACTACATAAATTTTGCAAGTGTAAATTTTTGCATTATGATATGCTATTAATCAGATTATAAAGTAATAAATGCTGCATAAAGAAAAATGTATATTATCAGAGCAATTTATAAAGAATATTACAACTAGAAGGGCTAGATTAGACATTGGATTACAGAGCTATTGCAAAAACTAAAGAACATTGTAATTTCATTCCAAGTGGAGGTAGACTTGTAAGTATTTTATTGAGTGATGGACATCCAGCTTATATTTTACATTTATAAGAGGATATTCTAAGTAAATACAAATAAGTTTTCAATGTTGATAAATTACATCCTTTTATAATGTTATTTGAAAGATGAGTTATTGGCTAATAATAATAGTGTCTTGCATTTGCATAAAAATTTGCTTTTTAAAGCCTAAAGCAATTATGTGTATTAATTTTTAAAAGTAGTTATATTTCACTGAAAATATATCCTACTTTGTAAATGGGAAAACTGAGGCAGATATATGTCTTAAGTGTTTTTCGAAACTTGTGTAGAATTGGGAATTTAAAATGAAATACAATCTCTAGAAATCTGTGGAGATTTTTCCATTAGTCTATGTTTCTCAATTTGCTCTGTTGTTAACAAATTTGTACCTTTAAGCCTTTAATTTTGATAATATGACAATCTTTTATTCCCCTATCTCTTGCTGATTCTATTTGTGTCCATATGTTTAATAGTTCAGGAGTATCTGTTTTTCTGTTCATCATACTGTTTATGTGTGTGTGACCAATTTCATTTGATAGAAAATTCCCCCTCTGTTCTTAGGGGAACTGTAAAGATAATGACTCAGTAGGGTGCTCACCCTTTCAAAGACTCCAGTTTAACTCCTCCAAGAAAATGACACCATACCAGCTGGGAGGTTGTTTGGCTTTTTTAAGCAAAAGAACAGAAAATTCTATAGTCTAGTACAACTCATTCTCTGAAATTGACTTCATAAGAATGGTCTAATTGTTTTGTGGAATAATTTCCTTGCATATCTAGAAGTACTCCACTGTTAGAATTTAAATCCTCAACATTAATTTTAGTGGGTCCTCAATGCAAGAGTGCCCTTATTGATTATAATCACATTGCCAAATTTAAAAAAAAAAAAGTGTGCTCTCACTTTGAGGAGATATTTAAAAGCAAAAACAAACAATGAACAACAAAAACCTACCAAATTGTTAAAATTCCATTCCTCTGAATTTATATTTCCAACTAAGAAGTGATTTTGACTTATATCAGTGGGGAAAGGATTCTGGATACAAAGCTTCATCATTATCCCCATCCTGCTGATTGGTTGGAATAAAGGAGTACCAAATGCCGAATGGAGCCTTGGGAAATAAGCTATGAGAATGAAACTCTTCAGTTATTAAGTATAGGAGACTTATTCTTAATTTATCCAAATATTTAGCTAAAATGGAAATTTATTGTCAACGTATCTAATATATATAATAATAATATATATATAGTGATTTTTCTAGGTCTTAGTTATCCAATATAGTAGCTATGGTAACCAAATATGACTAATGAAAAAAAATTAAATTCAAATTAAATTTGGAATTTCATTCCTCAGTGTCACCACATATTAATTGTTCAATGGTTGTAGTGGCTACCATGTAAGTGTGGAATTAGAACATATCCATAATTAGAGAAATTTCCATTGGATATTGCTGGAATAGGTGGCATTTTTACTAAAAATTTCATTCCCATCTGTTTAAAAAAAAAAAACTAGGAAGCCTTCAGTTTAACACAGACAATATAATCAAAGAACTAAAATTTTTGGACAATTAAAAATTATATATTTGTTCCTCATTTGCTTCCAGGACTTCAAAATCTTTGACAATGCTTCTTCCCCAGTAAAATTCATCATCAGTAATGTATATGTGACTACAAAGATGGAACTCCAAACTCTGAAGAGAAACTTAGTCAGAGAAGAAATTTCTGGATGACTTAACTTTTTATTTTGTTTTAGGTTATTTTGAAGAGGCATTGTAGGTTTCAGGATAAAATCTTTGATAACCCAACATTTAGCTAATTTTTGGCAAGGAATACTAAGAGAAGTCATGCATAAAGTTAACAGATTCATATATACATAAAAATTTTAAAAGTCACATGGTTTGTACTGGTAGAAGACTAACAGAATTGTTAATTATCTTTCTAAGTTGTTGAACTTTTTGCTCAGTGCCCTCTCTTCCTTACTAAAAGTTAAAATAGAAACACAACTTACTGTTTCTCTTTGGAAAGTTGGCAGGCCTTTCTAGAAAGTACCAAAGTATAATTTTTCTAAGCTATTTTAAGGTGAATTTCCTTTCATGTTTAATGATATCAGTTCTTATACTTGCATCATATTAATCTGCATCCATTGAAAGACCATTGACATACTGCTGTGTTAACACAGGTGTAAATTAAAAGTGCTTAGCTTGGGTCCTAATAAATTTAGTGATTATGGCATTTGTTTCTTCACTTTTACTCTCAAATTCAGCTGACACATGTGGAATGAATTTGAGTCTCATCCTACAGTCTCACCTGCTAAAGAGGAAAAGGCAAAACTATACCCCTCTTCAGTAACTCAGTTACTATACTGATTCCCTTTCCAGTAGGTTGTAAGGAAATTCTTGATCTCTGTCCCTCCTGGGATTTCCTAGAAGCCTCCAAAGACTTTCCACAGCCCCAGAGTACATGTGGGCACCAGGTACCTTACGCTCAGAAGTATCTGGTGGTGGGGGATCGCCTCAGGGCCCAGGAACTTCCCTGTGTCTGGACCAGAGTGTATAATCCCTGGAACTCACAGACTCCTTCATGTGAATAATTTCTTAGATCTCCAGAATGGTCTTTGTTTATTTGTTGTCATTTAAACCAGTTGTTGCCTTTAAAAATGAAAAAAAATATATGACTTTTTTGGGTAGATTTTGAACAATAAAAGGTTTGGCAAATGTAGGTTACTATTCCTGCATCACCCACTGGCTGACACAGATTAGTCACATTGACCAGAACAAGTTCTTGTCAGACTCCAATGTCCTTTTGTTCTTTTCAGTCCTCTTCTTGATCTGGTGAATTAAAACATGACTTGAAACCATGTTGAGACAAGAGGTAAACCCTTATGATCAGTGCTGGTCATTCATTGTTGGCAGATGTCATCTGTGGGTGGGGTTATCTATAACTCTTGGGTGAGACAGCCTCCACCCAGGCAAGGGAATTCTCTAGCATATGGGGCAGCCGTGGGTTATTAAGGCTAACAGGCACAGAAACTGCAGCATGCTTTGTACAGGGAGTCTGGATTGGTAATCAGCAGACTAAAATAATGCCTGTTATTTAGCAAGAAAGAACAGAGAAATTATTTGCAAAGAGAATTGTTACTTAATCATCAACTTTTTTTAAGTACTGATTAGTCATTTAAGTTGTGTTAAGTCCCATTGAAGATAAACTCTATCCTGTTTTCATTTCCTATGACCATATAAATACTTGAGGACCATGACTGAATGGATTTTGAGTGTGATGCACACACGTGTGCATGTGTGTGAATGTCTGTGTCTTGAGGTGGAAATCAAATTCCTGAATATAACAAGTGTTTTCTACTATTTAGCACATGCCCACCTGAGGCCCACTCTGGTTGATGGCTTCAGCAGCATGACCATCAAGATCAGATGGCTTGCCCCCAAAGAATTGAATAGACCCTCTCCTCTGTGTCTGCTGGAAAGGAGAGAGAGATCTCTAACAGCTCCCAGGGCCACCATGATGAAACAAGCCTGTTTCGTAGGAAAAGGATATTATGAATTTCCCAGCACTACCCACCCCATCAACACACTCTTTACTGGTAAGTGTGCTTGACATCATTTTATTTAAGAGGCATTGAGCTTGTAGGTGTTCTCTATTGTTTTGATATCCCTTTACAAAGAATGTACTGTGCCTGTTACAGAAAGACTAATTCATCCCTTTGATAACTTTAGCTTCATCGTGCCAACGTGTTCATGGGAGAAAAAAAGTGGGTAAGTGGAGGAAAGAAAAGAGAAAATGATGTGGAAAGGCAGCCTTTCAGTTCAAAGTAGGTGCTGGAAACAGTGCTCAGACACACATATTGAGCAGACCACATATTCCTCAGAGTGTCTCATGTGCTCTGTGAACAAGTGCCATGTGGGCAAGTGAGTCTGAGAAATGGACCATGTGCTCTTGAAGACTTTCAATACATATCAGGCTATCAAAAGCTTTAGAATTGGGGCCTTCCTGGTAGCGCAAGGGGGTTAAGTCTCAGCACTATGAAGCTATCACCAGCCACTGTGGCCTGAGTTCAATTCCCGGCCAGGGAGCAAACCCACATGGTACAGCAGACCTCTCCTGTCTCCCCGCTGCTCTCTTCAGCAGTGTATTTCAGTAGATCTGCCTGTTCTGCTCCTCAATCTGTCTCTGGTGAATCCTCTCACCCTTGCACCTCTGGCCTATATCCCAGCTCCTGCATGCATAAATAAATACTTAAAAAAAAAAAAGCTCTAGAATTGCAAAGAAATTACTTAACCTCACTTAGCTTAGTTTTCCTAACATCATGTATTTGATATAGAGGGGTGTGTGTGTGTGTGAAAGAGAGAGAAAGAGAGAGAGAGAGAATGTAACAACTATCAATACCCCATGTTCTATGGGGAACATTATGGGAAATATTAATGTCAAGAGAAACATACCTTTTATGGGCTTGGATTGGAATTAGGTAAGTGGCTTCCTGTACAAGCTCTAAAGGCAGCATAAAAATTCAGAATCAACATAAATAATATTTAATGAAATATTAAAAAATGAAAGTAAGTGTCAAATATCCCCAAGAAATATCAAAAATTTAAATAAAGACAGGATTGGATCATTGCTGTGTGACCCTGTCACATTGGCCTCATTCAACTCCTGGTATTATTGGTACTATTACCTTCTGGAAATCTTGTCACCACGATGAATTGTAAGTTTAAAAATACTTTTTTCAAGAGGTAAAGGACCTATACAAAGAAAACTATAAAACACTGTTAAAAGAAATAGAAGAAGACACAAAGAAATGGAAAGACATCCCCTGCTCATGGATTGGAAGAATAAACATTATTAAAATGGCCATCCTACCAAAAGCAATATACAGATTCAATGCTATTCCAATCAAAATCTCAATGGCATTCTTCAAAGAAATAGAACAATTATTGATGAAATTCATATGGAATCACCAAAAACCCCGAATAGCCAAAGCTCTACTGAAAAAAAAAGAAGGAAATGGAGGCATCACACTCCCAGACTTCAAACTATACTACAAAGCCATAATCATCAAAACTGCATGGTATTGGAACAAGAACAGACATACAGACCAATGGAATCGAATAGAAAATCCAGAAATAAACCCACAGATTTATGGTCAATTAATCTTTGACAAAGGAGCGAAGACTATGCATTGGAGCAAAGAAAGTTTGTTCAATAAATGGTGCTGGGAAAACTGGGTCGCTACATGCAAAAGAATGAAGCTTGACCACTACCTCACACCATACACAAAAATCAACTCAAAATGGATTAAAGAACTAGACATAAGACCTGAAACCATAAAATACATAGAAGGAAATATAGGCGAAACACTACGGGATTTGCACATCAAAGACATCTTTACAGACACATCACCCAAAGCAGTGATAGTGAAGAGAAAGATAAACAGCTGGGACTACATCAAATTAAAGAGCTTCTGCACAGCAAAAGAGACAATAACAAAAACAAAGAGAAACCCCACCAACTGGGAGAACATTTTTGCACCCAACACTAATGATAAAGGACTGATCACAAAAATCTGCAAAGAGCTGATGAGACTCAGCAACAACAAAGAAAATAATCCAGTCAAAAAATGGGCAGAAGAGCTAAAAAGAAACTTCTCTGAAGAGGAAATGCAAATGGCCAACAGACATATGAAAAAATGTTCAACATCACTTGTAATCAGGGAAATGCAAATCAAAACTACCATGAGATACCATCTCACACCAGTGAGATTGGCACATATTAAAAAAACTAGCAACAACAAATGTTGGCGAGGATGTGGAGAAAAAGGAACTCTCTTGCACTGTTGGTGGGAGTGCAAACTGGTCCAACCACTATGGAGAGCTGTGTGGAGATTTCTGGACCTACTAAACATAGAGCTTCCATATGATCCAGCAATTCCACTCCTAGGTATTTACCCAAAGGACACAGAAACATCAATTCCAAAGAGCACCTGCACTCCTATGTTTATAGCAGCACTGTTTACAATAGCTAAGCTTTGGAAACAACCCAAATGCCCAAAAATAGATGACTGGATCAAGAAGATGTGGTACATATATACCATGGAATATTACTCAGCATTCAAAAAAGATAAACACATGCAATTTGCAGCAACATGGATGGCACTGGAAGGGATCATGCTCAGCGAAATAAGCCAAAAAGAAAAAGAAAAATACCGGATGGTCTCACTCATAGCAGGAATCTAGAAAACTTAAATAAGGGACCAGGAAAATGAATATAAGAAAGTGAAAATCAAAATCAACAAAAAACTACAAACCAGAGACACTTTTTGGGGGGTGGGGGGCGGGAGGGGAAGGATTGGGGTCAGAATGGGGCGTTTGCAATTGTATGGGGGAATATAAAAATAAAATTTAATATTTAAAAAAAAAAAAAAAAAAAAAAAAAAAAAAAAAGAAAAATACTTTTTTCGTATATGGAAAACTATTTCCGGTACATGCTTCACTTGTCCCAATTTAAAAAAAAAAAAAATATATATATATATATATATATATATAAAGTGTAAGATATAGGGGGCCTCCCCTGGTGGCACAGTGGTTGAGTGCTGGGCTGCAAAGCTGCCCGCAGCCTCTGCAGTGCCGGTTCAATCCCTGGCTGCTGGCGAGGGTCCCACATGGTGCACAGACCTCTCCTGCCCCGCTCGCTGCTCCCCTCAGCAGTGTATTTCGTCATTCTGCCTGTTCTGTTCCCTGCTCTGGCTCTGGTGAATTTTCTCACCCTCCTGTGCTTCTGACTGTACCCAGTGCTTGTATAAATAAATAAATCTTTGAAAAAAAAAAGTGTAAGATATATATTATTCTACAAGCTCATAATGATATTAATCTCCTCTTTTAAAAGCCAAATTGCAAGTCTTTAAAATAATGTGTAGATGAAATAGAATGGAATTAAAGCATATAATGTAATTCAAATATCATTGGTTTATTTTTACCTAAAACAGTAAATAGTTTGCTTTTAAGTGTGGCTGGTGCTGATGTACGTTTGTAATGAACCACGATTATGTTCTAGCGACACAGATTGAGATTAATGCATGCTTAACTACTGGACTGGTAGCTCAAATTCATCTCAGAGAATTAGAAAGTCAACCACTGAGCTCCCCTCCAAGGCCCGAGTTCTGCTTCATATTCATAAATGTCAAAAGAAAGGAAAGACAAAAGAAGAATAAAGTGTATGTGAGAAAGAACCCGAGAATGAAAAGTTAAAAGACTTTTTCTCAAACAGAAGGAGAAGACGCTCTTTGCTGGCCCTCCCATGGGCTGGCGATGAGTTGCTTCTTGGAGGAAGCAGCTGGGTGTCGCCTGGGCGAGTGTGTCAGCCTGGATTTGCTGGCTCGCGTGCAGACAGACTTTTGAGGGGCTCACCTCCTGTCGCAGCAGTGAAAGATAGAGTGGCCCATCCGCCCTTAATAAATTTAGTCCTCTGTGCTGTCCCTCCAGCCGGCCTCAGGCTCTGAGGTGCTGGAGCTTGGGGCAGATGTAGTGTCTGGGAAGCTTTCCAAATTCCTCTTTAAAAAAGTTAGGCTGTAAACACCGGCCCCACGGAGCAGGACCCTTCTGTCTCTAGCTCAGCCTCCAGCTGCACAGAAAACATGTTCCTTCGAAGGACAAGGCAGGGAGGTTACAGATTTGGCTGGAATGACTCCCTGGAGCTTTGGTGATTCCTGGAGAATAAGAAGATCTTCTGCCTCCAGGCACGTTGTAGGGACTCAATGGCTCTTTTCTGTCCCTGGCTCTGCCTGCCTTTTCAGACTCCCTTTAATGTTTAAAGTAACAGGTCCATGTCAAGCCATTGGTTTCAGCCTTTGGCTAACCTGGCAGATTTAGTTGAATTTGTGTATTGTGTGGGGAGTGAATTAAGTAAATTTACCCATTTGATGAACTAGGGAATGGTTCTAAAACCAACCCAGTTGCTCCCCTTAAACTTGATCTTTCCTAAGTGAAGATAAAAGTGTATGATTTGGCAGCTCCCATTTGTTTTAGCTGTTCTCCCATTCACTCCCTCTGCAGCCCTGGAGAATGGGAATTGTTACCCTCATTGAACATGAGGAAATGAAACTGAAACCCTGGCTTCTAAGGAGTTCAGGGTTGAAATGTGAATTGGAGACTCCCATTCAAAGCTGGCACTTTGCCATGGAGGGGGAAGGCGTCCCTGGGAGCAGTTATTTGGAAGGTGTGGAATAAAAATGTCTGACATTAATCAATGGGCAGGGGAAGTGATTATCACCCAGATATTTCTTACCCAACACTGCTAAGTTTTTTGGAGTTGCTTCCAGGTGTTAGCTCTTAGGTAACAAGAAGTAAGCAGTGTTGTCATTATTTATTTCCTGTATCCCCAAAGACATATGGGGAGCAGTTTTTTTTTCCCCATAGCAATTAATTCCAGAGTGTTACTAGAAGTTAGACATCTAATATCTGAATGAAATTATTTTAAATGGACTGAAGAAGTACATGTCAGATAGAGATTTCAAATAACTTCCTTTATATCTCATGCTGTTTTTATATTCTGAGGCAAATTTAATGAGAAAATTGTAGAAATCTCTGAAAT